CCCCCCCCCCCCCCCCATAAATCCGCCACTGATTAATTCGCGTTAGTTATGCGAAATACATCGTCTTTTATCAAACCAGTAAGTATCCAGTTAGATGCCCTTTACGTGTATGCAGGCAAGATAAAAATAAGCATAAGAAACGAAAATTTACAAACTATGCTACATATATATGCATGTTTTACATTTTGGAGGTTAGTTTGACAATAAGCGCAAGACAGACAAATTACAAACTATGCGACGAGCTCGAGTACACCGTTTGCGTACCGGCTAAAAAGGAACGGAATGGCCAAAAGACTACCTTTCCCGCGAAGCATATTAGGAGAGAGTCGAGAAAGAGAGGGGGAGGTCAAAATTTTTATTTTGGCAGAATACATATTTATCTCACCTCATAAATTTCATACTTGTTTTCTTTGTACAGTGAGAGCCACCTCAAGTCACTCAAGGCCTGAAGCACGTCTTTTAGGGCGACTTCGTATCCATCGCAGTCTGAAATAAGTCAGATATCTACATTGCTCTATATACTATACTATACTATACTATACTATACTATACTATACTATACTATATGTGTACGAGGTTGAGAAATGCAGTCTGGATGGTACATGTATGTACATTTCTTGAATTTAACTTTGCTGACAGTCAGAGATTCTTCATTATTCTGTTTTGAACAGCGATTGTTCGTGGCAGACACGAATTATTTTAAATCAAATAATTCCAACATCATTATATAAGTGCTGCCCCCTTTTCCCTGAACTTTTCTTTTTATAATGATTTCCCCTTCTTGTCTATTTTCTTCCATAAAACCATGTTTTAATTATTAATTGGGTTTTTTTCACGAAACGTTTTTTCTTTTTTAAGAACATTTGTTCCATGTTACCTCTGGTTTTCACGATGTCGCAATCGGGGCACTCAGGGATGTAATAAGAGCACGCGGCGGAGGCATTACTCTGAAGAGCGTTGCAGGTCGGTTGTCCGGAACGACGGACTCTGTGTGCATTGGTGAGAATCTCGTACAAGTCTCGACGTCGCCCTAGAATATAGAAAGGCAGGCCCCCACTCTCAAAATAGTTATTGTCAGTTCACCGTCAGTTTCCCATGTCTGTTGGGGAGAACAGTACCGCTGCCATTACTTGATTAAAATTATTATTGTAAATAATTATTCTATTATTCCTTTAACATAGTATCTTTGCACTGATATACGTCACTTTAAGAAACGTAAATCAAAATTCCAATGAAAATACGGAAGATGCCATTATCATTATTAACCAACAACACCACTATTTCATTTTCCATTACAAGTATGTTTTACATTACTAGTTCATTTGATTAAACAATAAGTAAAACTCACTTTTGCCTAAACCAAAATCAAGCTTCCCAAACAAGTTCCCCAAACTGCTTCCAATGTTACTCATTAAGTTTCCAAAATCAATATTCTTTATATTCGCAAGGCCTGATCCGATATTTTTGAAGAAGTCGCCAGTTGCATGCAGTCCCGTCTGAAACTAAAGAATAATTGAGGTAATAATATATTTTTGGTAATTTTCATCTTAAATTAGATAACGACTTTGGCAATAAAACATATCATGGTTGCATAGTTCAGTTCAATTGTGCTCAGTTCTCTACTGATTGAATAAAAATCATATAAAATAAAAGATAAATATATATATTATTTATTTGTTATGATAGGCTGCCAAATTCTCCTTTACTGATATCTGCCATGCTAGTAGGATACTTACACCGCCATTTGTGAAGAATTTGTCAGTTTCTGTTCCAAGATAAACAAAAGGACGTTTAGCGTCTCCCACTACGAAATTTGGAAGAGATGAAGTGAAGAAGTTGGGAAGACCACTTTCAAAGAAAACTTTCGAATCGTACAAAAACTTGTTGAAGCCCGTTGGTGAGCAGACATCCTGCGCGCTGTAATATCAAGAAAAACAAGGCTGAAGTAAACCGAACATTATCTTAAAGGAAAAATATTTTATTACAAGGGTTGTCCACCACTTCTCAAACGCAAATGTAGTTACTCTACGAGGACTCTCTTTTTTCCATCATTTTCTCCCATTTTCCTTGTAATAAAACTTGTCATTAATAGTACATTGACATGAAAATTTTGATGCAGTCTTTGTTACTTACCGAGCTTCGCACTTCTCTTTAACGCAGTCAACACAGAGTTGTGTCTTCGTTTCTACTACTTTATTACAAGAAGCGTTTACGACTTTAAACCTCTCGAGGGAGACATTGTATGCTACTTGGTCGGCTTCTATTTGCAACACCAATATTTGAACGCCGTTACTGACATAGGCTGAAACCAAGGGGAAAAAAACTTACAAGCATTCTATATTGCATAGAGTCATTTATCAATTTCATTCTGTTCTGTTTTGTCCACAGTTCAAATGTCAAGAAAAGAAGGTCGAAAGCAAAAACATGTCCATTGCATCGTGTCATTTATAAAATTTATTCTGTTTACGGTAATGCACATCGCTTATTGTTCATCGCTTATTGTGTTGACGCAGGAGATACGTTACACGAGAATGAGTACAATTGTCCGTGGTTCTATGGATACAACACTTTGGTAGGCAAGATAAGTAAACAAATCAATTAATTAAATAAAATAGAAAAAGACGAAATACCAAACACTGCAGATTGATTAGAATTGCAAGACATAGTTATGACCTATTCTAAAAAGTTAACGCTTTTCAAAAATATATATAATAATAATAATAATGATAATAATCTGCTTCTGAGGTCTGGGCAGATTTACCAAAGAAAGTACAAGTATAAAACACCACGTTAAATTCTAACGATTTCATACTGCCTACCTGGATAGAGGCCTGATGGTACCACCTCGCGACTGTAAGATGGCGCGAAAGCTACCGCCAAAACAGCAAATAGAAATATAACTTTTCCCATTATAACACCTTTTTATATTTCTGTATGCCTTATCTATTTCTCTCTCTCTCTCTCTCTCTGTTGTTTCGTTCACCGTTGGGTTGTATCTGTCTCTGTGTCTCTTGCCGAGTTATGTTTATAATGCAGAGAAGTAGCGCTTTTTATACGTTTCAAGATGTTTAGTCACACCTACGCACAGACGGCACCTTACGGTCGAGTTTTGTTTACGACCCCGAATTTCGTGCTTTCCGGATTTCATGTGTCCCGTCCTTGCCTAGGGTAACTTCTTTTTACACGCATAGGTGAAATTAGTAGATAACCATCATTGTCATGTAGGGTTGACAGCGAGTTTTTTGTGTCAACATATCGGTGGAAAATTATCACCAGACCTTTTTTTATTGGATCAAGTAATTCTTGTCCCACTTTTAACAACTGACAGCATAAAAAGTTGTTAAAAGCACACAACTTACATAAAGGTTATTTTTTCTTCATAATTCAGTTTAAAATTGTTTACACAGACAGGTTAATAATAGGCTCTCATAGTGCCCTTGGGTGTCTGACAATCTTGGTATCACTTGCGCGTCAGAACTTCTTGTTAGCATTTGTTGACGTATATCAAAACGCATCTCGACGGCATCAGCAGCGTGCAAAATGTGGAGGTGCGTTTACCGCAGACTGACGTCCCTTTGTCGAAAGGATCAGAAGCTTTGACACCAAAGACAGATTTGATGTTTATTTTTGGAAAGCGTGTGGTCGACATTGTCTAAAAATTGTACTCAAGTCACGACGAGTGAAGTGCCGACATAAAATGGTTCAAAGGTGGCCGAGATCGACCTAATAAGAGTGGGCGATTATGTAAATTTCCCCGGATGCTGAATGCACTTAGCAGGGAAAACAACTTAAAATTTGATTAACTCAACTCAACTCAAGGCGCAAGGAAAGCTTCTATAACTTAAATAAAAAGATCTTGCTTCTCAATCGTTCCGTGGCCCTTATTTCAGCTTTTGAATAATGTATGTGGACCTTACTTCTTTTTTTTTTACACCAAACTGTTATGGTACCAACTTTCGTCCAATTTTGTTACAAGTACAGGTAAAAAGATTTTTGCTGAGTATGTCGTGGCAAGGATTTTCTCTCTCTCAGATTTAAGTTAACGTTGAAATGTTTTATATGTTCTCAACTTGAGATTTTCTTGCGACATCTTGCATCAACGTCCTGACCCCCCCCCCCCGCTTAAAATATAT